GCATTCATGCCTTCTTAACATAATTTGCTTTGTGCGTATACTTATGGAATTGTAGTTTTACAATTTTGGAAATATAGTTGTGCGTTTATGGAATTGTAGTTATAGAGTTTTGGATGTAGTACTCTGTGAACCTTACTCTGTGCACCAAACTGCATCAATGCCTTTTTAGCATAATTTGCCTTGTAGGTATGCTTATGGAATTGTAATTGTACAATTTTGGAAGTATAATTATGCGTTTATGGAATTATAGTTATACAGTTTTGGATGTATTACTCTGTGAACCTTACTCTGTGCACCAAATTGCATTCAAATCCTTTTTAGCATAACTTGCCTTGTGGTATGCTTATGAGATTATGGAATTGTAGTTTTACAATTCTGGAAGTATAGTTGTGTGTTTATGGAATTGTAGTTATGAAGTTTTGGATATAGTACTCTGTTAACCTCACTTGATGTTTTTTATTTGCAGAAATGGATCAGTCAGGTGTGGCAGATGATTCTACACTTGGTCAATTTGTGAAGTCTGTAAAAAAGAGAACAACCAGAGCAGTATTGAGCTCACAAGCTGCTGAACTCACCCCTGCCCAGGAAGATCAAGCAGAGCCTTCGACAAGGCAACAACCAGCAGCTGTAAAAAGAAAGAGGGCACCACCACAAAAGCAAGAGAGAGTACGGGACCCTGATGTGAACTACTTCAGTACACGAATGGGTCCCAAGCAAATGTATGACCTTGTCCAGCGTCTAACACATGACCAAAAGGATGCTGTGATTGATATGGGTTTTGGAGGGCTGCTGCACCTACAATTTTCAAGCAATTACTCACAACTTGTTGAGTATCTCCTGCAAAGGTTTGATGTTTTCAAATCAGACTTCATATTGGATGGTGACCATCTACATGTTGGTGAAGAGGATGTTGAATACATCTTGGGACTCCCCCGGGGGAAGAGAGATGTTGAGGAAGGTACAAAGAGTGAAGAAAATTCTACAGCTGCATATAATAAGGTCCTGACTGAGTGGAGGAAAAGATGGAATGTCAGGTCAGGGTCACCCATAACAACAAAGATGCCTGATGAAATAATCAGGAGAGGTGACCATGGAGATGCCTTCAAGAGAGACTTTGTGGTGTTTGCTGTCTCATCTCTGCTCCGGGGAAATACAGGAAGATATGCCAACTATCGAGTTATCAAGTCATTGCTCAACATCCGGTCAATCTCAAGACTTAATTGGTGCAAGTACACGTACAATTCTTTAATTGATTCGTATGACATTTACAAAGACTCTCCTACCAGATCCTTTGGAGGTCCAATGGTATTCATCCTGGTAATATCCCATTATACATAAAATGTTCTAATTATGTAATTATATTCATGCAATTATGGAATCATAAATATGCAATTCTGTATGTGTGGTTATGCCCTTATGGATGTGTAGTTTTGTAATTGTGGAATTGTGGTTTTCCAATTATGGAATAATAGTTTTACAATTATGGAATTATAGTTAATCAATTATAGATGTGTACTTTATGGATTATGGAATTATAGTCATCCAATTATGGAATTATAGTTATGCAATTATGGAATTATAGATATGCAATTCTGGATATCTAGTTTTATAATTATGGAATTATAGTTATGCAATTATGGAATTATAGATATGCAATTCTGAATATGTAGTTATTCAATTCCTTAACATACTCTTCTGTACTTCTTGAAGCTCTTCTACTTTGACCGAGTACAGTTCAGAGGCATGACCGTCAACCGCACATTCCCAGCAATAAAAGCTTGGACAAAAAGCCTTGTACGCAAGCGAGTATCGGCTGAGATAAAATCAGGGGGTTTTGGTAAGGGCAAAGTTATCCCTCGATTTCAGAGACCTACTGCCATTGCATCTACATCATCACCCCGACCTGCACCTCCTCCTGCTGCAATACCAAGGCCAGTGTCCAGCCCTGCTGCTACACCAACTATTCCAGCTCCATCTGTGCCTCTGACAAATGTTGACCGAGTAACAAATGTGCTTCAACGGCTTACAGCAGATGTCCTTGAGTTCGGTCAGGTCATGTCTGACATTGGCAAGCAAGGGGCCCCGGTTGAAATCATGAAGAGGGCTTTTTCAGGAATATCAACAATGCTGAGTGCTGCAAGCACAATTCAACCGACTCCTAGCCCAACTGCCTCGCAATTGGATGACATCTTCTTTGGAAGTGAGAGCTTCACATCAGCAGTTGATTCTCTGGTAGCAGCTTTTGAAAAAACAAGAAAGGAAATGGAAATAGAAGTCCCATCATTTGAGCTACTTGGACGCTCTACACCAACCCCACCACCATCTCAACAGCAGCCTTTGGACACCTTGGTGGATAACATTGTGAGGAGTGCAGGAGTATCAACAGAGAAGGAAGCAACTCCATTGCTAATCAGAGTGCCATTCGAAAAGTCCACCACTCCTACTACCCCTGCTGCCCAAACTGCTGCTGAGATTGATGAATTTGATAAGTAGGTTACTGCTTTCTTATGCAGATTTAGACTATAAATATGGTTTTCAATTCATCAATAATTATGAATATTAAGTTTGATTAATATGAATATATTCTTATTCAACTAGTGACGTTGATTTCTTTACAATTATGGATATGTATTTCTCAAATTATGGACATATAGTTTATAGATTATAGAAATGTAGTTATACAATTCTGGAATTATACTTGTGGGGTTATGAACTGCCTCTGTTTTTTTCTGGACAACAGGGCTATGGATGAAAGTGAATCTGATGTTGAGGATGTTACTGTGAGAAAGAGACCTGTGCGCAAATTCAGGAACATCCCGCTTCATTTGAGGTCACCATATTGGAATAAGAACAAAGGCTCCATCAATAATGCAACTCCCAAAGAAAAGGTTTTTTCAAACTACGCATTTTTGGAAGCCTCAAGTGAGCACCCGGGAGGGTATGTTTCCATCCACCAATTTTACTTAAATTTTATTCATTAATTTATGTTCTTATATTTATTTATTTACTGTATTGTAGAGAGACATTGTTCAAATATGGTGATTACTACTTCACAAGGGATGATTTTGCAACTATGTGCAACGGTGAGCTACTGAGCAGCTTCCTAGATGTCTGGTCCCTACGTTTTACATTGCTGAACATGCCCCGTGCGGTTGGGGAGACAAAGCGGGTCTACTTCTCCACCCTAGTACATGTAAGTGTTCACAAATTATGAATATATAGTTTTTAGATTATGGATATGTAGTTATTCAGTTCTGGATGTGTACCTGTGAACCCTTGGTTTTATAATTTTGTAATTCTGGAATTATAGTTATGCAATTATAGAACTATACTTATGCAATTATGGAATTGGTTATATGCAATTATGGAATTATTGATATGAAATTATGGAATTATAGTTATCCAATTATGGAACTATAGTTGTACAATTCTGGAAATGTATATATATATAACTCTGTATGTATAACTTTAACATTTTCAACAAATATTATTTGGATTATGACTACCCATTCCTGCATTTGTATGTGCAGCTTCAAATTGATCCCAATGATCAGTGGATGAAGGATCTCCCAACTCACATAAAAATGAAGAATTTCAATGAGAGATTGAGCTATGAAATAACCAGCTTCGGGAACCTAGACATCAGTGATGCAGATCTGGTAAGTTCTATTACCCATGTCCAATTTGACTTTATCATGTCCAAAAAAATACTAACATTGCTTTAACTTTGAATTGGAATTAGATATTTTTCGCAGTTCATCGCCATGGTCACTACTTCTTGGTCTGCTTCAATGTGAAAGAACATAAAGTACAGGTCATTGACAACAAGGAGTTACCAGCTGGTGTTTCGGAGAAGGACAAATATGGCAACTGCCCACACTTATTGGTAATTTTGATAAAAAAAAACTTGACATTCTTACCATTACCTATCTATTGACATAAAAGCATTATCAACACTAAACTAACTTTTCTGACCAGATTGAAGCATTCAGTGGTTACCTTAAGGCCGAGTGCCACTCCTTGTATGTGAAATTGCAAAAAGTTGATATAAAGTACCTTAAGTTGGACTGGGCAAACACTGAAAACGTCACTGATTGCGGGATCTATGTACTCCGTCATATGGAGACATTCCGAGGGACTCTACAAGACTGGCAGCCAGGATTCAAGAAAAATATGCGCTTGAATGTAAGACTACCATACATATTATAGTTTCAAAATACATTAAAAATAAATAAAACTGCGAATGACTAATTACTTAATGTTATTTGTTTATAGGCAAGCTTCATGTGTGAATTGCGAGCGAAATATGCTGCGAACCTCATAAAGTGGAGAATGAATGAAGTCAGGGGGGAGGTTCTGCAAGCGGCCAAAAGAGTTTCGAAGAAGAATTGAATGAATATTCTTCAACATGTTGACTGAATTCTAAACAATTAGAAAGTTTTTGTGAACTACATTGACAATGTGACTTGTATTTTGTGAATGTAGATGCATGATGTTAATAGCTAAATAACAATTTACATCTGATCTATGCACCTCTTTCTCTTTTCTCTTCTTTTCTTTTCTTTACTTTTTTTGTTTTTTTTTTTTTGTTTTTTTTTTTCATGTATCAAATCTATAATTGCATGACTACTATAAATCCAGAATTGCAAAACTATAGTTCCATAATTGCATAACTATAATTCCATAATTTCATAATTATAATTCCATAATTGTATATAAACAATTCCACAATTGCATAACTATAGTTCCATAATTGCGTAACAATAATACCATAATTGCAAAACTATACATCCATACTTGCATAACTAAACACCACAATTTCATAACTACAAATTCATAATTGCATACCTTTCATAATTGCATGACTACAATTCCATAATTGTATAACTATAATTCCATAATTTCATAACTACAGTTCCAAAATTGCAAAACTACATATCCAGAATTACAAAACTAAAACTGTATAATTGCATAAAATCAATGATAACAACTTGTATTTCTCAATCTACACCTACATTGTCATCTAAACCCTTACTAAACTGAACAAAATCTGAACTTGAAGAACTTGGATGTACAAGGTATCCATCCCCAGCAAGCTTGGATATGTTTTCCAACACCAAAGACTGAACAGCACCCTTTGTACTCAATGCAGCTTTATTTGCAACACTCCTTCTCCCCCTTGCAAGACTGTACTTCTTTTCAATAACACCACTCCTCCTTTTGTTACGCTCACCTTTCAATCTCCGACTTGAAGGATTTTGAACACCACCACTTGAAGATGAAACACCACACTCTTCAATATGCACATGCCCAACCTCGGCTTCAACCTTTTTCTTTACATCATCAACAGCCTCGTCACACAGTTTCCTCGCTACGCTGCTATCTTGACTAGACACAACTAATCTTTGAAATTTTCTACTAATATCGAACACCCAAATTGATGGAGGAACACCAACATTATAAACCATAGAATCAATGTTGACATTCCTACCATCAATAACCTTTTTAGTCCATCTTTTAAGTATATATTTGTCGGGAATACTAGAAACACAATGTACGTGAAGAATGCGTATACAATGACAACATAGAATTCCCAACTCAGACATCAACTTGCAACTACAAGAAATGTCCAAGTTGGCTGCGTTAAAACTAACCTCATGCCTTATAATATCTATATCTGGCCGCCACACGTGATACTTCTGTTGACGGCCATCATTCAACACCATCTCTTGATGACACGCACTGCCTTTCATGAATTGTTCCTCAAACAGAAAATATATCTCAATCGTGTATACCTCTCTAGCATGTGAAAGAAGTTTCACATGCTCCATCATCATAGCGGGTACCCCTTGAGCACACCGAAAGTCTTCACCGTTCTCTTTACTTCTCCATTCAGAAATTACGCTTACAAACGATGAATAGAAATCACAAAGACCCGCTGTCTTGGACAACCTTCTAGAAATCGAATGATTTGTAGTTTCACTCCTTTGTGATGATAGAATGCCCCCAGAAAAATAGTCCTTGTTAAATGCTGGACACCACTTCTCCCTACAGTCATATAGCTTTTCTAACCAAGTATTCTTGTGACATTTATAGTCAGTCACCAACCTGAAAATGGTAAGACAAAATCCCAAATGATTATGAAGCAGAATATTAACAAGCAGCATCACCACATCTAACACATACTCAGAATTTCTATTGCTCTATATACATAATTGGAATACTATATGTCCATAATTGATAGACTATATATCCATAATCCATACTACTACATTTCCAGACACCACCAGTAAGTTCAACTGCTATATATCCATAATCGGTATACTATATATCCATAATCGGAATACTATATATCCATAATCCATATACTACATTTCCAGACACCACCACTGCTATATATCCATAATCGAAATACTATATATCCATAATTGATGCACTATACATCCATAATTACAAACGTAATGCAATAAAAACGATTAATTACTAACATACCTTGTCCAATAGAATTGAAATTCAGCTTCGGTCTCTGTGTATTTCAACACGTAGTTAAACATATCCAAGAAATCCTTATTGCTCCTTAACGTCTTGATATGCTTCTTTGAATTCTCACTGATATGCCATATGCAAAGACGATGACGTGATGTTGGAAACACTTTAGATATAGCAGCAGTCATAGCTGCACATTGATCTGTCATAATAGTCTGTGGAGACTTGCCACCCATTGATCTTGAAAACACTTTAAACAACCACACAAACGATTCTATCCTCTCGTTCATCAAAAACCCGCATCCAAACATTACATTCATGCAATGGTGATTCATCCCTACGAAAGGGGCACAAATCATATCGTATTTGTTTGTGCGATATGTCGTATCATGCACTAACAAGTCCCCAAACACCTCGTAATCTCGTCTCATTTGACCATCCCTCCAAAAAAAACTGCACAACCTTGCATCCAAGTCAAGTTCAAAATCAAAGAAAAAATCAGTCTCGGTAGACTGCCTCCTCCTAAAAATTTCAATTAAAGAGTTAGAATCCGTTCCATCCAATCGCTTGACAGTATCCGCAGCCATTGAATTATAAGCATCTCTACTGGTGAAACCAACTAAAGGGGACCCCCCCGATTGGTGTTTTAGGAACCTAATACCATCTGCCAATGCAACACCACTGTCCTTCAAACCTTGTAAATATAAGAGCTGATTATCTCCGACACTCCTATGTGAACGAAGTAGATGACTCTTGTTGAACACACATAACTCGTGATTGTGCACTTTCTCGTGTTTCGTAACTGTCCACAACCCATCATCACCCACGTCAAATTGAACAAACGCTCCACACCCTGTCCTTGTGTCAATTTTGGAATAAGCCTTAACCCCACTGTTAGCCTTGTAACCAGCCTTAGAACAACAAAATTTCTTCATTTGAATTGTGTTCGAAGATCCCTTGTATCGTTGATGACCCTTCCTCACACTAAAACCAAGTGTATATGCATAACTGTTATACACCTCAAAAGCCTCATCAGCATTACTTACTACCAAACCAACCAAATCTTGATCAACTGCAAATATAACACAATAATAACCATTTCCATTAACACATAATTCCTAACCATAATTTGCTAATTAAAAGGTAAACCACTATGAATAAACCTGTAATTGATGAAGATCCATCAACATCTACTGAACCATCCACAATGCCTTCACTAACTACATTATATAGACATGGTGAACATTAATTCAAACAGTTCATCAAACAGAAAAAACAGAGTGTCTACAGATTCTGTATATATAGTTATATGATTATGGAAATATAGTTATACAATTCTGGATACACAGTCGCAACAAACTGCCAAAACAGAGTACCCCTAATTCTGAATATATAGACATGCAATTCTGGAAATATAGTTATGAAATTATGGAATTATTGTTTTCAAATTCTGAAATTGTTGTTACACAATTATGGAAATTACTTACGTGATTTTGCACAACTATTTGCAGATTCTAGACACAAACATCACTGCTAATCACATAATCATATAAAAAACCAAAAGGAACGATTGCAAAAACAATAACAAGATCACCTTGAATCGAATGCCAATCATCAACTGCGGAATTCGTCTGCTCTGTTCCATCCTCCATCTATCAATCACTTTGTAATTCCCGATTTCGATTTGCGATTGCGATTTGCGAATGCGATTGAGATTGCGATCGCGATTCCGGTGATATCGAATGCCAATACCACAGCGAACAACTGCCAACGATCGAGTTTGAAACTTGGAAACAAACTCAAAAGGAATTTGGAAGTAAACGCCGTTAACGGAATTTTTTTTTTTTTTTATAAAACCCCGCGTCATTAGGCTAAAACGAAGTCGTGTGGATCTGTATGCACCATGCATGGTGCATACAGATCCACAGCATAATTTGCCGGGGTTGACATGACATATTCTTATTAACAGAGAAGGACAATCGGTTAGCCCACTCGAGTATTACATGAGGTGGGACATTTATTGCTCATTAGTCCTCTCCAACTACTTTTCAAAAATGTAGATCTAGGTTCTCCTAACTACCAGATCCTAAGCTAGTCGATCAACCATCCGACTCATACTTGGGCCCTTGTCCCCGTTTCTTTATGGAGCAATAGCTTAAGATTATTGAATCATTGGATTATCATATAACCTTTTTAGAGTCGTTTTTTACATAAAATATTTTTTAAATTTCCAAACCGATCATACATAAAATGAGACCATGTAACTCTCATGGATTCCACATTTAAAGTTTGATGACAAACATGAGAATCTAAAAAATCAACTCCAAATCTTAGACAAACAAAACCATCTAATTTACACAAAAGATAAATTTGTCCAATCTCTTACTATCTTTTCATAAATAATTTATTTACTGAACCATTAAGCCGGTCAACAATTTGTCCATTCTCTTCATGTGTATTATACATGTTTTGAGTTAGCAAAATTTAACACAGTACCTAAAATATAGCATGTGGATAAATGAAAGGAATTTGCGGTGTACTTTAATCTGACACTGAAGCAGTAAAGGCCATAGGCCATTGATTGATCGAAAACATAAAAAATTGAAGTCACCGTATAAAATTCAAAGCACTAATCATCTCTCTATTGCGATTTGCGAGTATATAAAATGCGCAAAGGACGAGCGCGGGGCCATCCCGCCATTAATGACTCTTTCGCCCGACTTTTCCATTGTCTCTATCTTGGTCTCAATTGATTTTGAATAGTGCCAAAGCCGAAAAGATTAGTCAAAGTGTCAAACAAAAGCTCGTCCCCTCTTTCTATCATCAGCTTCTTCATCGAAACCTCTGAAAAGCAGCCATTTACTCCTCTAATCCCTTCTCTTAAAGATAAAGATCAAATCATAATCAGGGCTGAGCTGAGCTGGGTTGTTCTTGTTCTCTGAGGAAGAGAAAGAGGTGGGTGCTTCTTTCCTCAATTTAATCTTTATTCTTTTGCTCTGCACTTTTCTGGGTTTAATTTCAACTTTTCAACAACTTGTTGGTTTTGGTGGAGTGCTCATCTTAGTCTCGGTGAATCAAAGAAACCACCTTTTTGGCTGGGTTGTTTGTTTTCTGGCTATTTTACTGTTTAGATCTGCCGTTTAACATGTTCTTGATGATTTGCAGAGCAAAAAATTAAGTTTGGTGAAGAAGATAGTGAGTAAAGCCTGGTCTTTTCTGATGGGTATTTGCTTGAGTGCCAGAATCAAAGCTGAAAGTCCTCCTAATACAGGTGATTACATTTTAGTTCATCTCTTCTTGTTTTTCCTTGAAGTTTCCTGCTTAAATCTTAACTGGGTATCCTATAACCTATTCACTGAATTTTCTTTTCCAATTCAAAGAACAACTTATCCTTGAATTGTTAGGGTTTTGTATGTTTTTGTAATATTTGTGTGTGAATTTGTCATTGGATTGGTCAGGGCTAAGCTCGAAATATGTTAGCGCAGAAGGGAGTGATTCGAAAAATTCAAGTAGCAGTTCTGTGCTACCAACTCCCAGGAGTGAGGGGGAGATCTTGCAGTCCCCCAATCTGAAACGCTTTACGTTTGCTGATCTAAGAATGGCCACCAGGAACTTCCGTCCCGATAGTGTGCTGGGAGAAGGTGGATTCGGGTCGGTTTATAAGGGCTGGCTTGATGAGAACTCGCTAGCTGCATCTAGGCCTGGTACTGGCATAGTAGTTGCGGTAAAGCGGTTAAACCAAGAAGGTTTTCAGGGGCACAGAGAATGGCTGGTGAGTTCGTAAAATCGTAAATTGTAATATCCTCCCTTGAGCTTTAATGCGTTTAATGAGTTGTATGTAATCTCATGTGGCGTTGCATACTTGCATCCTACAGGCAGAAGTGAACTATTTGGGGCAGTTTTGTCATCCGAATCTTGTGAAACTGATTGGGTATTGTTTAGAGGATGAACATCGTCTTTTGGTGTATGAGTTTATGCCCAAGGGTAGTTTGGAGAACCATTTGTTCAGGAGTGAGTTCTCTTGTCTCCCATGAAGAACATCTTTGTCTCTCTTTTCGGAGTTGCATATGTTGCTCTGTCTAACATAGAAACTATTGAAATTTTTGGTTTCCAGGGGGCTCGTATTTCCAACCTCTCTCTTGGTATCTGCGTTTGAAAGTTGCTCTTGGAGCTGCTAAAGGGCTTGCTTTTCTTCACTCTGCTGAAACGCAAGTCATATATCGAGATTTTAAAACGTCTAATATTTTGCTTGATTCGGTATGAACTTTAAGCCAACTCTCCTTATTGTCAAAGCATATATATATTTTTTGTGTCATTTTCACCTCAATTTGTCATGATATTGCAGAATTTCAATGGCAAGCTCTCTGACTTTGGCTTGGCCAAGGATGGACCGACGGGTGATAAAAGTCACGTCTCCACTAGGGTCATGGGAACCTATGGATATGCTGCTCCCGAGTATTTAGCCACTGGTATGGTTCAATTGAGCCTTTTCATGTTTTCAACTTCGCATTCTACTTCCCCTTTAGGTTTAGTTATTGATTTACTATTCAAGACTTGACCTTTTTCTTTCGAGCGTCTTGTCATTTGTATAACCACAACACAGCCTCTCTCGGTTGGTTTACTTAGCCCCGTTTGAATCGTTGGGTGTAGGTCATTTGACTGCCAAGAGCGATGTCTATAGCTTTGGAGTTGTCCTCCTCGAAGTGTTGTCGGGCCGTAGAGCAATTGACAAGAATAGACCATCTGGGGAACACAATCTGGTAGAATGGGCGAAACCGTACATGGCTAACAAGCGCAGAGTGTTCCGCATTCTGGACAATCGCCTCGAAGGTCAGTATACCCTCGAGGTTGCGCAAAAAGTAGCTAATCTTGCCGCGAGGTGTCTTTCTGGGGATCCCAAGTTTAGGCCATCCATGGATGATGTAGTCAAAGAACTGGAACAGCTTAAGGCGCAGTCTAAAGGTAAAGGAAGCGCACAGGCCAATACAAGCAAGGCTTCTAGACCTCGAAGACGAAATGCTGGAGAAGCAAATGCTTCAGATGCCTATCCGAGGCCATCTGGATCCCCACTCTATGCCAAATAAAGATTGCGGGTTTGAAAGATTTCACTCGCTTAAAGCTTAAAAGTGCGATTTGTGAAGACCACTTTTGACAAGAGTATACGAACGATCGGCTTAACTGTACAGTTACTTTTGGCTGATATCTTGACATTCATCGCTCCGAAACCAGGGCAAGAATGATGTGCAGTGACCAAGGAATGCTCACCCTGCGTTTTAGCTGGAGTGTAACACAGGTTCTAGGTACCCAAGTCTGGTTGCATATTTCTTCCTCGTTTACTCTCAATTATTGTTGTTTGTGTGTTGAATGGTTTTGTCCAAATTGGGAAGTTTGTTCTTAGCTTTTTTTTTTCTTTTTTTTTTTTTTTTTTTTGTTTTGTAATATGTTTGTTCTTTTTCTTGGAAAGTTGGGTTGTCCTCTCTTGACTTCAAATTTGACAGCACAGCACTCAAAGGCACATGTCTTTTGAATGTGAATGATGATAAGGGGAAATGGCCCAAAAGGAAAGTTGATGTTGAAACTTCTTTTCTAGTGATTCATGGAAGGAAATGTCAATGCATGAAGTAAAATGTAATACAAATAAACATTTGTCAATTTTTATGCGCCCAAGCATAAGAAGTCTTACTTAAGACTTGCTTTCAGTAGCAAGGTTGGGGTGCACATCCCCGTGGACCTGGAGGAATGGTTCATGGGGTCCAGAATAGTCCAGCGAAGTTGAAAAACATGAATTCATGGGATATTGTATTGTGAATTATAGTTCATATTGTAAGGTGGAACATCAATAAATATTCAATTATTATTATTATTTTTTGTATACTGAAGGTTTACTTTTAAGTAATATATTAAAAATGAACTTGTATGTCAAAAGTCTGCTAGCTTGGGCCTTGAATGAGGTCCGCTATAGCCAAACGGGCCTCCTCAGCCCGGTTTGCTTGATGAACATTATAGGAAAATGAAAGGAAGAAATGACAGAATCCTTGTCTAAAACTAAAAGGTATTAACCCAACAGGGTAGCTCAAGTGGCAAATGAGTTCTCTTTGTGGGGAGAATTCAAGGATAGCCCGGGTTCGATTATCACAAGTGATGATTCTCTTTGGGCCAACTGGATGAACCTGGACCGTTAAATGGACAGAGAAAGAACTTGCAGCCATCTTTTGTTTGAAGATAATAAGGTTGCCTCATGTATTTTCTAAAAGGTTTTACACAGAAAGAGGCTTTGCTGTTTCACCCATTCCTTCCACAAAATGACAATGGGTGAATGGATTGCATAGAAACAGCCACACAGACCTACTTATGTTATAATGGCACTAAACATGACAGTGAAAGAAGAAGATGGCTACCCGGAGAGGAGACTATCACCGGGTTCTCACCAAACCGGGTGTCCAATTTCTCCAATCCAGCTTGCCAATCGATTTGTTCCTCAAGTTGATGATTTCTCTGAAATCAAACCCCTTCTTTTGGTTACTGCTTTCCTGTACCTCGGGTTCAGCTTCTTCGCATTCATCATCTTCTTCTGCATCTTTAGCAGCTTCTCCCTCTGCTGCTTTGACAGTAGAATCGGGCACAGCAGCTTCATCTCCAGTTGTCTCGGTGATGATGTTGCCGAGCCTCTCCACGACCTCGCTCATTTTGGGGCGAGATTTCGGCTGCTTCATGAGGCATTTGTTGGCTAGCGATGCGAGTCTGAGTGCAGACTTGGTGCACTTCTGTCCCTCTAGTCGAGGGTCGAGAATAACGTGGAATTTCTTTGAATCCGACACGTACGGTCTCACCCACTCCAACAGCTTCTGCTCACCTCGGGGCAGATTTCGCTCCAGCACCCGCCTACCTGTGATAAGCTCGTACAGAACCACCCCGAAGCTCCAAACATCACTCTTAGCAGTGAGTCTGCCAGTGTGAACATATTCAGGAGCAGCATAACCAACAGTTCCTACAACCTAAACCAAACAAATTACTAAACCATCCCAGGAGACCACATTAAAAACCTGTCTTTCCTTCCCATACTATCTACCAAATCGCCTAACAACAAGTTCACGAATCACGAGCGTCAAAGAGGGAAAGAACTTACTGTTGTCGAGACATGACCCAGTCCTTGAGCTGGTCCCTGTCTAGCCAACCCGAAGTCTGAGAGTTTTGCGTTGAAGTCTTCATCCAGAAGAATGTTGGATGATTTAAAATCTCGAAATATCAACTGAACCAAAAACAATATAAAACGAGAAGATTCAAAATCAGGGGAATCAGAGTCGTTAGTGATGACTTAGTAACTTTGATATAAGACGATTGATTCTGAATCACCTGAAAATCCATTTCTTCGTGCAGATAAGCCAATCCACGAGCTGCATCTTGAGCAATCCTTAATCTCAAACTCCACGACAGAACATTAGGCGATCTAGAAAACAGATGGTCCTCTAGGCTTTTATTATGCATGAGCTCGTAGACTAGAAGTCGTTGGATCCCCCTCTCATCGTCTTCTGCACAATACCCAATCAACTTCACGAGATTTGGGTGCTTAACTACACCCAGAAAGTTGACTTCATTAATCCACTCCTTGTGCCCCTGAATACTAAAACAAATAATTACAACACACCAAACACCGCTTAGCTTCTCAATCACTGCACCCTTTCAACTTTTCTTTTTTTCTTTTTTTCTTGATAGCAACTGTAAGTAGAGAGAATCAAAGTGAAAACTCGTAAAATCCACAAACATGTGAGTTGTGAAAGAAATATCTGAACGACACAGAAAAATCAAACAAGCAGACCAAGTCCTCTCTTCTGCAGAGGAATCTTCCCTTTTAGTCAATTGTGGTGGCCAGTGACAGCGATGAACCATATTTGTTACTATAAATTAGTCCGAGATAACATGCTTGGAAAAACTTGTACTTGTTGACATTGAAAGTTGGAGAAAGGGTCTTAACATTTGTGTCACGCAAAGCAATTGTAGAAGTCATGGAAGAACACAAATGGCTGTGGACTGTGTTGCCACTAACGAGGAAAACTAGAAGCCACTGTTCAAGAGAATCCATTGGTAAATCCGATCCGAACAGACAAAGGATACAAGGAGGTAAACCAGCTTAAATTGTCCAAGCTTATTGACTCGGGGCAACTAGGTTGCTCCCACAGGGAATAGAAGTCTTTTTTTTGAGTGATGAGGGAGGGAAACCGCAATCACTGCCTGAGGGATGAGTAAACTCTGACTTGTGATCCTAACTTAAAAGGCCAATCAATCGCTTCTGCTAGAAGTCGAACTTAGGTTATAAAGCTAGGTGATCAACTTGATTGAGGTTGTCCGAGTTTAAAGTCTTTTTCACTAAACAAAGGGCACAAGGAGATAAATTTGTCTAAATTGTCCATAGCTTACCGACTCCGCAAATAGGTCACTCCCTCGGGAATAGATTTTTTTTTTTTTTTTTTTTTTTTTTTGAGTGATGAGGGAGGAAACCTCATCCACTATCTTATGATCCTAACCTAGAAGGCCAATAGATCGCTTCTCCTAGAAGTCCCTAAACTTATAAGTTTATGGTTATAAAGCTAGCTAATCAACTTGATTGGGGTTGTCCGAGTTTAAAGTCTTTTTCACTATAGTTTCCAAACTATCAGCACCTAAGTTTTATAGTGTTTTCTATAACAACAAATTACAGTATATTCTTTGATATGTTGGAATATTGCAGAAGGAACAGAAAGTTTGAATATTTGAAGTAAAGATTATGAATAGAGTGAAAATTAAAGGCATGCCTGGAAACCATTGCGATTGAGCTGTTTAATAGCGACATCCACATTGGAATTGAAATCCGGGGCGGGGACGCTAACAACGCCTCTATAAACGCAGCCAAAGCCGCCTTCTCCGATCACCAGGGCGCGGCTGAACCCTCGGGTGGCGGATTTGAGATCGGCGAAGGTGAAAACTCGCAGATCGTTGGCCCGGCGCTGGGCCAGGAGCTGGTAGAAGCAGAGCGAGTCGGTGAAGTCCCTGGAGTCCGAGTCAAACTCGGAGCGCCGAGTCGAGTCGACGCTGCTGGAAGCCACACTGAGGGACCGCGCCCACGACACCTTGGAAGACCGGGAGCTTGAAACGACGCCGTCCTCGTCTTCCTCCTTCCTCTCCCCATTCGTGAAGTGAAAGCATTTCATCTTCTCTCAGGGCAATTCTCTTCAAGAAAACATGGAATCTGAAGTGTACACCGTTTGGATGTCTGAATGTCGGAAAGGTAGGATATAGACTATAGAGTTGCTGTCTGTCTAGATAGATAGATAGATAGATACAGACTCAACAACTGAACATGTATGTATAGGTTGGAGTGGTAGCATATATAATAGAGCTAAAGGAGCAGGTTCTGCACATTGTCGTGTTGCAGAAGAGAGAGAGAAAGAGAGAGAAAGAGATTTGAGTCACGAGAGATGTGCGAAGTGGAGCCTGTGAGCAGAAATTTTTTTGTTGGATTCGTAAAATAGAAAGATGGAGGGGATAAAAGTGTCCTTTCACCCACTGACCGGATTGCTGCATTTGACCGAGATTTGAATTAAATTACCAAAATGACATATTTGCCCTTTGAATTAAATTACAAAAATGACATATTTACCCTCCATCTCTGCACCCCGCGATAAGTCGACATTCTTAGAGCATCTCTATTAGTATGAATTTTTTGTTGGTTTTTCCAAATATATGTAAGAGAGACAAGAAAAGACTAAAGAGAAAAAAAGGAGAAAATGAAAAGAAAGTAGAAATGCACGCGTCCAGTTGGGCGCCTTCGTCTGCCACACGAGATTGCTTTGTTTCATTCCTCATGTAGTGGACCCCACAATTGATTTTGCATGAGAAAAATTCACTCAAAAACCACACCTCTCATTTGTTCAAAAACTACCCACTTGATTTTCCCCTCTAATAATGTAAGTAGGTATTGTTCTTACCAACATCATTTTTATTGAGTTTATCGTATATAATCTTTTTAATACAATTTTTATTTTTCATCTATTTGCAGGCTATTATATAAAAACTAAATTTACCCAATGCACATCATCGAATAGTAATTGCATGTTCTCTTGACTCTTGTTACACAAATGAAATTAAAGTGTGTATCATGAAAAAAAAAATGAATCCAAAAAAATCAGTTTGATAAGGGGAAACAATCTTTCAAATTTAAATATCACTCCATAATATTCCACTTGATTTTTTTTTCATCCAAAATATACCCATCAAATTTCCCTTTAAAATTTCGCCACCATTTATAAAATATTGTCACAAATAATAAAAACAAGATACGTACTTTTGTCATTACACTATGTTATATTGAATAGGCATGTGCAGGATGATGTGGTATATATATTTAATTTTGAAATTAATAGTAACATTATAGTAATGTTTAATTTTAATATGTGAGCATGATTTGACCTATTTTGTTTTTTCTTTTGGTATTATTTTATTGAAAATATGTTGTGAGGGATAGGGAAAATGATTTTCATAGGCACGGGGGTAATTGTGTTTCATAATATTAGACTTAGAAATGAAGCATTCAACCATCAATTCAATCACAATGAAGTGTAATTAACACAACTATGTTTTACGAAAAACTCATTACAATTACAAGTGTATATTGGGTGATATGAAACCCATCTCCAAGACCTTAGACGACAAAGGATCCCAAAGAATAAACTGGTATAGACAAGCCTTAGCTGATCGACTCAATACTTATGCGTTTATTGTTTCTCTGAATATAACTGAGTTTAATTTGTTTGCTTCCTTTATAGGGTAAAAAAATCTCTAAACTTGATGTCAAGAACTAATGATAGATACCCAAATCGATATTAACTACAAAAGTAAATTGAAGCCTTCATTGCACTATATAAAAGTTAACGTAAAAGTAGAGATCTAATCTCAACTTAAATAACACTACCACACTTAAGAAGAAGTGCACGTGAAATCATACGATTATAGTCTACTAGTATAAAGATGAGACTTCATATAAAAAATTTCGAAATCAATTTTACGCTTATCTTTAAAAGTTTTCATGCATTATAAACTCTAGTTGTTGAACCTAGGAATAAGGTTCGTATTGGCCACTGAACGTAACTTGAAAATGCAATTAGGTCACTGAACGAAAAAAAAAGTGCAATTAGACCACTGAACACTCCAAAAACGTGCAATTAAGCCACTGAACACTCCACATATATGCAATTTTACCGGATAGCAGGTTACCATCAATTTTAGCAGGTTACCTGCTTACGTGGCAGCTGAGTTGACATTTTTAATAATTTTTGAATAAATTTAATAATAAATTTTAAATTTTACCAGCTTACCATCTTTTTATTTTTTTTAAAAAAAATTTATTATTAAAATATATTAAAAATTATTTAAAAATTATTAAACATGCCAACTCAGCTGCCACGTAAGCAGGTAACCTGCTAAAATTGATAGTAACTTGCTATCAGGTGAAATTGCATACATTTGGAGTGTTCAGTGACCTAAATGCATTTTTTTTTTTCGTTCAGTGGCCTAATTACATTTTCAGGTTACGTTCAGTGGCCAATTTGAACCTTATTCCTTGAATCTAATTAACTTGGAAACTATCTAGCCTAAGGTATGGTTGAACCCATTGTGTAATATAAAATGGATATTGATCAATCATTATTGTGTGGACCATATTTTGTATACTATAAAATAATGTATATTCAGTATAAAAATAATGTACATTCAGTACAAAAATAATGTACACTGTATTTAGGAGATGTACATTATTTTTGTACTGAGTATACATTATATTGTATAATGTACATTCAATATAAAAATAATGTACATTTAATATATTAAAAATATATTTTTATTATGGTTCATGTAACATTGTGTGAACCATTGTCCACACAAAAATATGCGGATATTGATGGTTACACCAAAAGAAAAAGTTTCAATCGTTATGCCTTGGACCCGTGTCCAGCATGCTTGCTGGACACGGGTAACAGTGCACTGTTATCTCTTTTTTTTTTTTTTTTTTTTTTTTTGTAAATTTCAGACCACTTTGTTATAGAAGTATATGTTCATAATTTTATTACTATATGTTAATAACTATACATTCATAACTCCATAACTGTACGTTCATAACTCTATAACTGTACATTCATAACTCTATAACTGTACATTCATAACGTCATAACTGTACATTCATAACTCCATAATTGTACATTCATAATTTTCGAAGCTCTATGTTCACAATTTTAGAGCTCTATGTTCATAATTTTATCACTATATGTTCATAATTGTAAGTTCATAATGTTAGAGCTCTTTGTTCATAATTCGATCAATAACTGTACATTCATAATTCCATAACTGTAGATTCATAATCTCATAACTGTAGATTCATAACTCCATAACTGTAGATTTATAACTCTATAACTGTACATTCATAATCTTCGAAGCTCTATATTCACAATTTTAAAGCTCCATGGTCATAATTTTATCACTATATATGTTCATAATTGTAAGTTCATAATGTTAGAGCTCTGTGTTCATAATTTCATAATTACATAACTGTACATTCATAATCCAAAAAAAAATAACGCCGTTAACGGTAAAACGCGCGCGAATTTTTTTTTTTTTTTTTAACTAAATGACGCGTTTTTTTTGAAAAACGATGTCGTTTTGGGCCCGTGTCCACAATTCATGGTGGACACGGGTCCAGGGCATAATTTGCCAAAAAGTTTACTTAGGGCCGTATAAGTATTTAGCAGTGTAAATAGGTATTGCTTGGATTCAGCCTAACAATACGGCCCATATTCAAATGTTTGGAATTTATTTTATTTTAATCTAGAGATAAAGGTCAAATAGACCCTCCAATTATATATTAAAATGTAATTAGCCCATTGAACTAAACAAATTTTCAAATAAACCCTTTAACTTGTTAAAAATGTGCAATTACCATTTTTAACAAGTTACCAAAAAGTAAAAAGTTAATTTTGCTTGCTTGGCATTTATGTGGAATTTCATTTATTTTTTTCTTTTTAAAAAAGCTTGAATAAAAGTTGCCGGATTCACCCATTCCATGCCGCCGGATTCTTCCGTTCGTAGTTGCGGCGATGGATGAATTTATCCGTTCCGTTCAACTACTCCGTCCGTCCGTTCGACTTCTCCGATCAAACGCATTTGTCCGTTCGTAAAGATTCGACTGTTCAACTACTCCGTTTATCCGTCCATTACATTTGAACAAAGAAACTTGCTAACTTCTCTTCTTCGTTCATGGAGAAGCCAGCGATGGACGAAGAAGCTCACTGACTTCTCCATGTACGGAGAAGAGAAGCCATGGCAGCAGGCTGGGCAAGCTGCCAGCCTGCCATGGCATTTTTTTTAATATATGTATTTTATAATATAATTAATTTACTTTTAATGAAAAAAATTAAAATATTAATTGACGTGGCATCTTACGTGGAATCCTACGTGGTAGGTGACTTGAAGGTAACATGCTATTATAGGTCAAATATGTTAATTGCACTATTTTAACTAGTTTAAGGGTTTAATTGAAGGTTTTTTTTTTTTTTTTTTTTTTTTTTTAGTTCGAGGGGTTAATTGCACTTTAGTATATAGTTGGAGGGTCTATTTGACCCTTATGATTAATTGTTATAATTATAATGATGTTTTTAATTTTTATTTTTTTTGTCTTAAATATACAAAATATGTTTTGTATTGTGAAAATTTTACCTTACTAAGGTATGTTTGGTTCATGGGTTTACACATTAGAAATGAGAATGAAAATTATAGTAAGTCTTTGGTTGACAACTTTTTAAAATACAATTATGAGATTTGATTACCGTATCCCTTCAATTAAAAACCACATGCTTTTCTTAATTAAAATTGTGTATCATTCTATCTTATTGGTAATATAATTTTTAAGTTTCGGATTAGTACTTTTAATTTTTTTTTATTTTTGTTTTATTTTTTTGTTTTTGTTCATATGGTGCTTTGGATGTCATTATATTATGATCAATAATTTCCTTGATTTTTTTGTTTTGTTTTGTTTTGTTTTGTTTTGTTTTGTTTTTGTTTTGTTTTGTTTTGTTTTTGTTTTTGTTTTTTTTTTTTTGTATATTTAAACCATTTATTCTCATTATAGGGTGATAGATAAAACATAACCAAAGATCAATATTAGTAATCATTCAAATTCCACCATACTGCTAAACATGCAAAATACTGTAACAAAAACTCATTCTCATTACCAAATATTTGATTCTCATTCTAATTTTGATTCACATGTAGGAACCAAACACACCCTAAGTGTATTTTGAATGTTCTGAACTAAAAATAAAACATTTTCAAATGTGGATAATTAAAAGAGAAATAGATAGATCAAAGTGAAACAAGATATGAAAATGTCTCGAGGGACCAAAAGTGAAATAAAGCCTTTATTTTTTACACTTGAATTTTATATTTTTAGATTAACTTTTATTTTTAAAA